TATCATATAATTTCCACAAAATATGCAACTTTACAGTTGCTATGGGACAGACCAAGTCACAATCCCTAATAATGCACGCCCACACGCCCGTCACCTAGCATGTGCGTCACCTCAAAATAGTAGATTGATACAAAAATTCGGGGTTTCATACCCTCAGGACTAGATTTACAATCGTTACTTACCTCAAACCGGTCAAATCTCTACCCCGCAATACTCTTGCCTCTCGACGCGGCCTCCAAATGCTCCGAATCTATTCACAATCAGTACAATACCATCAACATACGCTAATGGAATGAATTGCACAAGAAAAACTATCAAATTAGAGCAAAACCCGAAATTGGCTCAAACCCGGCCCCCGAACCTACGTCTCGAAATTTGACAAAATTTACAAAACTAGAAAGACCATTCACTCATGAGTCTAACCATACCAAATTCATCAAAATCCGACATCGTTTGGTCCTTCAAATCCTTAAATTGTTTCTTAAAAATCCCAAGCCCTAACACCCTACTTTCACTCCAAAATCCTACTAATTAATGATGAACAAGGACATAGATTCATGAAATTTATACCATTATGGGTTAGAATCACTTACCCCAACGTTGCTCCATGAAAACTTTCGAAAACTCTCCTCTCTCCCGAGTTTCTCAAATCCAAAAATGGAAAATGAAGGCAAAACACACGAGCTGGGGCTTTTCTGCCCAGCACAATCGCACCTGCGGCCATATGTCCGCTCCTGCGGAAGCGCACCTGCGGTCGAATCCTAGCATCTGCGAGAACCACTTAAGCCCTCAATTCCGTGCTTGCGACCCCAGGTTCCGCACCTATGGGCGCGCACATGCGTAACACTTCCGCTTCTGTGGAACCAGCCCAACTCTTCCTTTCCGCATTTGCGCTCAAGGCCTCGCACCTGTGGGCTCGCAGATACGGCCAATTCTTAGTACTTGCGTTCCCATCCTTGGCTTTCCATTTTTGCATCTGCGGCTTCCCCAAGCGCACTAGTGACCTCGCACCTGCAGCTCTTCCTTCCGCAGGTGCTTAAATAGCAGAAGTAACAGCTTCAACTGCATTTTCCAACTTCGACAAATCCGCTAACCACCCGGAATCACCCCGAGGCCATCGAGACCTCAACCAAAAATATCAACAAGTCATATATTTACATATAAACTTAGTCGAACCTTCGAATCACTCAAAACAACATTGAAATACCAAATTACCCTCAGATTCAAGCCTAAGAACTTCTAAAACTTCCAAATTCGACAATCGATGCCGAAACTAACCAAACCACGTCCGAATGACCTCAAATTTTGCACACACGTTACAAATGACACTACGAACCTATTCCATCTTCCGAAATTCCATTCTGACCCCGATATCAAATTTTTCACTGCCGACCAAAAATCGCCAAATTTCCAATTTCGCCAATTCAAGCCTAATTCTACTACGGATCTCCAAATCAGATTCCGGACGCGCTCCTGAGTCCAAAATCACCTAACGAAGCTAATGGAACCATCAGAATTCAAATCCGAGGTCATTTACATATAGGTCAATATTCGGTTGACTTTTTCTACTTAAGCTTCTACTTTAGAGACTAAGTGTCTTAATCCACTCCAAAACCATAGCTGAAAAGCACAAAAGAAACAGAAATGGGGAAAAAGGGGCTATAACTCCCGAAAAGACTGGTTGGGTCGTTACAAGGCGGGAAGCCCTGATCCGTTTAATAATAAAGCCAATAAGGTCTGCTGCAGGCGGGCAGCCCTAATCCATAAAATAGTAAAGCCAATAAGGCCTACTGCGGGCGGGCAACCTAGATCCAAAACAATAATAATGTATAAATCCATTATGGCCTTCTGCGTCGCGCAACTCAATCCCATAAATATCCTCATAATGGACAAATATTACTGAGTGTGAAATGTATATTTTTGAACAATTAATTCAACAGCAACACGACCCCATGGGTCCCAAATTGTTGGCACGTACATGATCTTTAATAGGAGCCTCAGCTCAATTTCTCTAACACGTGAAAAATGTTCAGATAATATCATAATTCATTAATCTTACAACCGCATAGGGTTTATTCAAGACACAATTTATATGGTACACGTCACATGTTCGTCACCTATCGTGTGTGTCACCTCCAAAAAATTTATATCATACCAAATTCGGGGATTCATTTTCTCAGAACCATGTTTAGAAGTGTTACTTACCTCAAACCATGTAATTTTTTACTCCGCTATGCCTTTGCATTGTGAATTGGACTCCAAACGCCTTGAATCTTGCCACAATTAATTCGATTCAGTCAATAAAATTTATTGAAATTAATTCCATAAGAAAATACTAATTTTTCATAAAAATCCGAAATTTAGCTAAAAAATTATCCCTGGGGCCCACGTCTCGGAACCCGACAAAAGTTACAAAATCTGTAAGCACATTCAACCATGAGTCTAACCATACTAATTTTATCAAAATCCGACCTCAACTCGAACTCCAAATATTCAAATCTTATTTTTAAATCCCTAAGTTCAAACCCCCGATTTACACCTCAAAACACATGTAATCTAGTCGGATTATTCGATGATAATTCAATATTATGGAGTAGAAATAATAACAAGTGACTTACCTCAAGTTTCCCTTGAATTCTCTCTCAAAATGCCCCAAAAACCGTGCTTGAAGGTCCAAAAATGGCAAAACTCGGAACCCTTCTGTTTTTAATATTCTGCCCAGGATTTTACCCCCCGCGATGATTTTTTTCGCACCTGCGGCATAACTCCCCCGCCTGTGGTGCTCCCACCTGCGATGCATTTCTTCACACCTGCAGATTCGCACCAGCGGCAACACTCTCGCACATGCGATGTATTTTTTCGCGCCTGCGACTTCACACCCGCGGTGCCTGGACAACCCATGCATTTTTCTCTTCCGCGACTAATTCCTCGCATCCGCAAGCTCGCACCTGCGGCCCTTTTTCGCGGAGGTGCGATCACACCAGTAACCCAGCTGTTTCAGCTCCTCCTCCAAATTCAAATTCGATCCGTTAAGGATCTGAAACTCACCCGAGGCCCTCGGGACGCCGTCTGAACATACCAACAAGTTCCATAACATAACACGGACTTACTCGAGGCCTCAAATTATATCAAACAACATCAAAATGACGAGTCGCACCTCAAATCAAAATCTATGAACTTTGAACTTTTAAATTCTATATCTTTTGCCGAAACATATCAAATCAATCCGGAATGACTTCAAATTTTGCACACAAGTCATAGATGACATAACGAAGCTATTCCAAATTTCCAGAATCATATTTCGACCCCGATATCAAAAAGTCAACTCCCCGGTCAAACTTCCATACTTAACTTTCTATTTTAGCCATTTCAAGCCAAATTCTACTACGGACTTTCAAATAATTTTTCGGACACACTCCTAAGTCCAAAATCACCATACGGAGCTATTGAAATCATAAAAATTCAAATTCGAGGTCGTTTACACATAAGTCAATATCTGTACAACTATTTCAACTTAAACTTCCAACATGAAAGTTCATTCTTCCAAGCTAACTCCGAAATACCTTAAAATCAAAACCGACAATTCACACAAGTCATAATACCTCGTAGGAAGTTATTCAAGACTTCAAATAGTTGAAAGGAGCGTAAATGCTCAAAACGACTGGTCGGGTCATTACATAAGGATACGCCAACATTTATTTAGTGATATTTGAAATAAATGTCGAAAAACAAATAAATTTCTCGACATTTATGACAAAATATCATAAAAATAATGACATTTGTGATAAAATGTAGTAAAAACAATGTCATTTGATACAAAATATTGTAAAAATAATGACATTTGATATAAAATGTCACAAAAAGTATGACTTTTATTTTAAATGTCATATTATTAGCTGGTAATTACCGACATTTACATTAATGCTGAAAATATCTCCATATTTTTTAATTATAAATCATTCTTTGTCTAGAAGCAAAGAAAATACTCTTTTTTATTTAATACTATATTTTTTCAAATATTGTGATAGTAACCACAGAATAGACGAGTTCTCTTATTGTTAATCAATGTTTTAAAAGGCTTTTTTTGGACTCGCCAGCCTCTGGGTTGAGCATTTGTAAAATGACATGAGGCTCATATGTGGGGTTTAGTTTTATGAGGGTTATGCCCCAAGTGCCCGATTGTGCCCTATCGTTTAGTGCTTGGGATACGCCCAATAGTTCCTATGCAAATTTATGTGTTAAATTTCCTAATTACTACTGTTGACTCTCAAAATACTTTAACCAAATAAATGATAAAAGTTCAATTCATATATAGAAATTTGAAGATTGAGACTAACTCAAATAACCAAGTCGTAGTACTGCATATTTACTAAGTGAGAACATAGTAGGAGTGAATATTATTGGAACATTTCTTCTGAAAATATACAAATCATCCAAAATATATATCTTCACTTGTAATTGGTCTCTATTTCTTAGTTATATATATATATATATATAAGGATTATTAGGCTTTTATTATTTTACAACTTAAAAGTAATTTTGTATGTATTTATGAAGGAGTAATGTCTTAAATTACTATGATACAATTTATTGATATTATGTACTTCTAGGGAGGTAATTACATGTCTTATTGATAATATTTTTAAAATAATAATTATTTTTTAATTATTTAAAAGTTAAGACATTATTATTGATTTGTATCTCATAATAATTTTAACACTATTGCATTATTTATACTTATAAAAATATATTTTATTTTGTATGAGTTTTTTAATTTTTTTAATTTTATTAAACTTTTAATGTACTTTCTATTGTTCGTATTATTATATTATTTTATAAATTAAAAAATTAAGATATTTATTTTTAGTCAATAATATTACTAGTACTTGTTAATTCTTGAGTTAAAAAATAGAGTATACAAATGAAAAGAATATATAAATCAAGATTATATTTATAATTTACATAATTGCTAACCAAAAGTTAGCCGAGATACTCCAAGCTCCTTTATTAGAAGACCGCAAGACCCTAAGATGTTGGGAATTCTTAAATTGGCACAACCTTTTATTAAACCTAGTTCAATTTTAGTCAAATTTGGTTTCGGTCTCCGCATCATATTCCCCCAATGGAGAGTATTTAGAAGGAAAGGATTTTGGCGGTAAGAATTTTTGGCTTCCCTCCTCTAATTCTAAAATTACAGTCTCCTTTATTAGTTAGAATTCTCCAGACAACCTAATTTTGCATTACGCTTTGGTAATTTAACCACAGATACTTGGAGATTGAAGAATACGGGAAAAGGGATGCAAGATATTGGAAGAACATTGATATGGGGTTCAGACTCTTGGTGAGGCTTTTGCAGGTTCTTCTATTTAATTTAGTACTATGTAAATCTAATTTTTTGTTATGTGATAGTTAAAAGAAAGTATTTTTGTATTCTGAAGTTCTTTTCTTCCTTTCCTAGATATTTAGGCTCTTTAAGTTTGTTTGCAGAGTATGTTTATACTATTTGAACTTCCTGTATAAAAAATATGCTGCTATTTAAAAGGATTGGATGAAGAAGATATTGAATAGGTTAGGGAAGGTGTGCCAGGAACAGAAATTGACCCACAAACTCTGGAAAGTACTGAAGCATTTGATGAAGATTATGAAATTAGTTCATAATATTATCATAGTATTATTACTAGTTTAATAAAGACTGTTATTTAATAGAGAACAGATTGATGTTTCTTATTATGCCATTCAATCGTTGAAATCTCTTATGCTTACATATCTTGTTGTTTGACTTGGTAGTTAGATATTATTTCATACTTTTAGATAGTAGAAATTAGTTTTCACTTTGACAGGAATCATAGTTTTTGAGCAACTTTATTGTGATGGCAAGAAAAAGACAATGAGATTCTAGTCAAGGTGCGCTTTTATCCAATTCTTTACAGCAATAAGAACAACAAATGGGAGGTATGGCGATGCGTAAACCACCTCAAAACTGGCCACAAAATGAAAGATAAGCTATCCGATCTGGTTACTTGTCAAGAAATGATTCACATGATATAGAAAATCTCTCCAGGTGCTAAAGTGATATCTTATCTTCATTTTGTAGTATGAAGTAGTTAGGGTCCTAGTCACAGAAAACCACTGCAGGGGAGAGTATTTGATGTTATTTGAATACTTTCCCATAAGTAGACTTCTAGCATGAGAGTTAAGAAAAATCTAAGTGACCAAGGTGCCCCACTATGATGCACTCAGGATGGGAAAATGATGGTGGCAATTTACATGTTGAGTTGAATGAACATGGGTAACCTATTGGACCAGAAGCAACTAGATTGAGTTCTAAACTTGGTGTCATAGCACGGAATGACATCTTAGCGCCATTGAATTATAAATATTTGAGGCTTGTGCCTAATATGTTCAAGGATATAATATGGTCTCATATTAAGGTGTTTAATACTAAACCAAACACTATATGCTAAGATGTTTTTATTTTTATATTAATGAGTTGTGTTAAATATGTATGTAGGAAAATACTGATGCAACTGATGATATGAGACATATGTTGATGATATCAGTTGGATCTGAATGGAAAGAATGGAAGCATGAAGCAAAAAGATGTGGTTTGAACCATATGGTACTGATATTGAGCGCTTAGCTCATCGTTCGAACATGGTTGAAGAAAATCAGTGGCGTTCATTAGTTCATTATTGGAGCTCAAATGCTGCAAAGGTATTTCAGAAATATAAAGCATCTTCTTCTGTTGCCTTTTAGGCCTTTATTATTCTTATCACTGAATCTTTGTTCTTTTTGAACTCTTGTTCTTTTTTCCTTCTTTTTTGCAGTGAATTGTGTCACTAAATAAATATCGCCGTATCCTTACTTTCTTGTAGTTACTCATTATCATCAATTTCAATTGTTCACACAAATAAGGTGAGTTTGAGCATTGTGTACTAGTTAATCATCAAAGTTGTGAGTTTAATTGCTCAGGTGTTGTGATCTTATTTTTTAAGCAAAATATGTGAAAGTTAGTTGTTGATATATTGGATATGTAGCAAATTTTGTACTATGGCTACAACCTGTTTGAGCTGTAGTGCAAACTGATTTTGGACAGTTGTTTTTACCTCACTTAGAATGCATTTAGTGGAAAACTACCTTTCCTACCCATCTCCATCATTTCTTTATTTCTCTTACAAATGCAATAAATGCAATCTTATATCATCATCAGATTCGTTGTATTTATTTTTGTATGTTTTGTTGTTTGGAGATTTGAGAATATCTTATAACTTTGTGAAACTCAATTCTTTTGGTTATTATCTTTCCAGTATGAGTTATGAGTAGGCTAATTTTGTCTTGGCTTATTTCTTTATAATTTTTGCCTCTTCTGGTTTGGTTTGGTGAAAGTTCTGTCACTGTTTGGTTGAAGTATGCTTAATTCTAGCTTTTTTTAAAATTGAAATTTACTTGTCTGTTAGCATTTTAAGAATTGATGAGTTTGTACTGGATGATATCTTTGTGATTTGTAAATAGTGGAGCTTTTAGTTTAGAAGAACTTTTACAATGGTGTCAGAGAAGAAAATCTAGTATAAAGGTGTTGTCATATGTATTCAGTGTTGCCTCTAGACTTCTGCTTATAAGTTAAAGTTGTTATGCTATTTTTGTGGAAGTGTGCAACATTCTAGGGCTATATAGGCTTTGTCTTGTTGTTCGTATCTTGTATTCTACAATCAATTTTGAATTCTATAAACTATCAAAGTAACCTTTCTAATATTTTTTTCTCAAGTTAACAAAATTAAAAAGAACGAAACTAATGAACTTGGGACCAAAAAGAGAAGTGGGTTAGTTCGGAAAAACATGCAGCACATATGGTATTTTTTCAGCTTTATTACATAGTTGTAATTCTCCTTTAATGTGATTCTTTTGCAGAACTTCTGAACGATGTAAGATCAATTATTAGAATACTTGACTTGTGGAAAGATGTATCCATAAAGCCTTGTTGCAGAATTTATTCTAGAAGTTAAGGGAATTCATTCAGATTAGGATTGAATTTGACATAGTTCCATGTTACAATTACTTTTATCTTTTATGATTTAGTTAGAACTAAGTTTTATTTGAGATATAACAGGTCATTGAGTTGAACTCTAACTTGTAAGGAGAACCTTTATTATGTACTATGTTCTTTGAATACAACATCCAAATACATTTTTATTTCGTATATGTTTCATTGTGTATAAAGATTGACATTTATGAGTGTATGAATTGAATATATATTTGAGTCACAACGAAAAACTAAATAAAATATTATTATTCATATTTTAGAAAATTTTATATCGAAATTTCAAAGTGACATTGCACAAGGTTTTAAAAAATGTCACTAATTTATTTGGCATTCACTTAAATGTTGTAAATATTTTATTGACATTTACCAAAATGTCGTAAATCACAATGTGATATTTTTTAAAAGCTGTAAATAAATGTCATAATTGTTTTTAGAAACATTATACTAAATGTCAGCAATTTTAAATTGACGTTTTAAAAAATGTCATAAATAAAATGTCATAAATTTCATACCGACACTTAAATAAATGTCGGAAAATTTCCGACCCCAAAATTTATGACATTTGATACAAATGTAAATTAAATGTCGGTAAATGAATTTGTGACATTTCAGCAGTTCTATACGACATTTATTTAATGTCGTCGTATCCTTACTTTCTTGTAGTGCGTGTTTATGTGTAATTCAAACGCGTTCGTCGATTCGTAGTTTTGATGTTGTTTGGTATGATTTGAGGCCTCGAGCAGGTTTGCGTCATGTATTGGGACTTGTTGATACGATTGGACAAGGTCCCAGGGGCCTCGGGTATGTTTCAGAGGGGCTACGGGTCTTTTCGCTATGTTTGGACTGCTGTTTTCTGAGGTCTGGTGCGTCCTTCTTCGCGCCCGTGAAGGAAGAGTCATTTGCGAAGGTCTGTTGGGCATTTGGCCATTTGTTCATCGCGTTCGCGAAGCCTTGGAGGAGGCAGTGCTTCGCAATCGCGAATGGGACTGCACGATCGCGTAGAAAAGCAGGCAGGAGGTGGCACCAGGAATTTGTTTTATGCGTTCGTGTGTCTGGTGTCGCGTTCGCAAAAGGGCGGAGTAGTTGGTCACCGCGTTCGCGACCAGTGCATAGCGTTCGCGTAGGGGACTTTTGGAGCTGGAGCAAGAATGCTCTTCGCAAACGCGAGGATAAGGCCGTGTTTGCAAAGAAGGTTGGGCTGGGCAATGTTGTTTTAAAACGGGAGGTTTAGCTCATTTTCATTTCCCTTCTTCCATGGGAGTCGACTTTGGAGTGATTTTTGGAGGCCCATTTTCATCGTCAATCATGAGGTAAGTGATTTCTACACATTATGAGTTAAATACACGAATTATACATGGATTTGAACATGGAAATTGAGTTAAATAAATCATATATTTGAGTTCGTAGCGTCATGGGTAAAGTTTATCTTTAAAAAATTTCAGAATCCGGGCACGTGGGCCCGAGGGTTAACTTTGTTGACTTTTCGAGCGAATTTGGGAATTGTTATAAATTGATTAATTATGAGTATTAGAGTGTATTTTTATTGGTTTTCACCTTTTTTGACTAGTTTCAGATCGATTCGGATTTGGTTTGAGGTGTTAGAGAGGCGCAGGAGCTAGTTATGGAACTTCGGAATGAGGTAAATCTCATGTCTAACCTTGTGAGGGGGAAACTACCCCCTAGGTGATATAATTGTTATGTGCTACTAGTTGTGTTTGCTACGTACGCTCNAGAGAGAGAGAGAGAGAGAGCCTTATCACCTTGAGTTAGTTGTGAGTTATTTGAGAAACGATAAAGGTTATATTCACCTTGTACTCATGTACTGTATTGTAAGCATGTGTCTCGTAATTCAATGATTTCCTTCCTTTATTGTGGAGCGGGCCGAACGCCTTGTCAGTATAATAGATGCATCTATGGTTCATGCTGCTAAACCTTCGACAGTGTACACATTATTCTAGATCGGGCCAAACGACCTCGACATAATCGTGCGTTATAGCGCTGGCAGTCCGAATATTCACGAGATTATCCTTCCACTGATGCCTGACCTTTTATATGGTATTCCTTATCCGTTTGATATTGGTACTTGATATATCTGAGTTTTTGAGGTAGAATACAAGACTGGAAAATTCTTACCCTTTAAAAGAAATTTTTGGAAGATTATGTTACTGACAGATTTACCTGGGTATTGCTGTGTGCTTCATATCTGCTTATGATGTATTATATTGCTTTATTGGACCTCTAGTAGGTGTCGATGTCGACCCCTCGTCACTACTTCTCCGGGGTTAGGCTAGATACTTATCGAGTATGCGTTGATTTACGTACTCATGCTACACTTCTATATTAAATGTGCAGGATCTGACATGGTCAATTGATGGTTATCTTGGCGCGTAGGCGCAACTGTTGAGGAGACTTTATGGTGAGCTACATTCCATGCTATGTATCGCAGCCCCAGAGTCTCCATCGTACCGTTTACTCTATCATGTCTTATTCACATTCCAGATAGATGTTGTATTATTATTGTACTCCTTAGTAAATGCTCATGCACTTGTGATACCGGATTTTGGGATATTCTAGATGTTGTTGTGATTTTACTTTGCATTTACACACTTTTATTATCTTTTCTATTTAAAGTATAAGTTTCCATTATTTTAATGCGTTGATTTCTTTATCTAATAAAATTCACGATTTAAAAAATAATAGAATGCGTAATCAAGATGGTAGTTCACTGTTGGCTTGCCTAACAGTGACGTTGGGCGCCATCACAACCTATAGTGAGTTTTGGGTTGTGACAACTTGGTATCATAGCTCTATGTTCACTTGGGTCTCACGAGTCATTAACAAGTCTAGTAGAGTCTTGCGGATCGGTACAGAGATGTCTGTACTTTTCTTCGAGAGGCTATATGGCTGTGAGGAGCACTTCCTTTCTTGATTCCTCATCGTGCGATTTGATTCTATTAAAGTTTATGCCTTCATTTACTTCCTACTCGATCTTATGCGACGTGGAGCGCTTGTTATCAATTGGGCATCGAGGAGTTGTAGTAGTACTGCAGACGTAGTGTAGGATGTTTTTCCCTGCGTATTCGAGTGAGTTATTATCGTCGTCTTGTGGAAGGGGGTTCTGTCGTTTTAGCCCTGTATTAGTATTGCCTATGATTTTGAGGACATGCACAAATTGTTATGATGTTCCTGCGTTGTTATCGTGTTGTGTTGTTGTGAATGGTAGGCTGCTCGTTTATGGCAGTGAATGGCTCGAAAGGAGGATTTCTCGAATTGGACTATGGATGTTCAGGCTTTGGTTAACAGAGTAGCGAGACTTGACATTTTCGAGCGTGGTAGAATTTTCATTGTGATGTGGTGTCGTCGTTCTTATTTGAACGCATTAAGGCTCGCTAGTATTATGGTCTTCTTTGATTTTCCTTTGGGGCAGAGTGTTGTGCAATGTTGCCTGAGAAGCGATTGTCAGAGATGGCGGTGTGTAGCGGTTTCATAATCGAATCAGTGTTTCTAATGCCAATGGCTCGAGAAAGATGATCTTCGAGGAGGCTTAGAGTTGGTAGAAATTTATTAGTTCAGGTGCTACAGAGATGGATTTGGCCTTGAGGTAGTATTTGGGTAGTGAAGGATAAGGAAGGACATGGTGGGAGGTGTCTCGCGGTGGTTGAATTGCTAGCAGGTCAAGTATGAAAAGCAGAGATCGAGAAGTTGCTTAAAGGAGATTGTTTAACCGAAGTGATAGCGGCAGAGTAGCATATGAATTCTGTGGTAGGATAGCCACATGCCTTGAGAAAAGTTTAGAGTGATTTGGGGATCATGGTAGACAGTAACTAGGTCTACGAATTTTATTTGGAACGGTGGCTACTGTACTGAGTAAGGTTGAATATGACTGAAAGAAGTTTGCTTGGAGTGTTTAGGGGTGTAAGAGCTTGATTATCGTTATGGGATACGACGTGACTTTGAGATTGGAATGTATTGTCAGACTTTCAGTTGATGTCAATGGGGAATGAACAGACTTGTACAACTGGTGGACGAGCATGGGCTTAGGAGGGTATAACGACCCGGCTTGTCATTTTAAAAATTAACACCCCTTTCAGTGACTTAAGGTCTCGAGCAGCTTTGCAATATGTATTATGACCCGCGGGTGTGGTCGAGTTTGATTTATTGAAGACTCAGATTAAATTAAAAGAACAATCCTTATTTAGAAGCTTAAATGGAAAAAGTTGACCGGAGAGTTGACTTTTGAGCAAACGACTCCGGAATGGAATTTTGATGATGTCAATAGCTCTGTATGGTGATTATGGACTTAGGAGCGTGTCCGGAAGATTATTAAGAGGTCTGTAGAGGAATTTGGCTTGAAATGGCGAAAGATGAATTTTTGGAAAGTTTGACCGGGAGGTTGACTTTTTGATATCAGGGTCGGAATCCGATTCTGGAAATTTGAATAGCTTCGTTATGTCATTTATGACTTGTGTGTAAAATTTGAAGTCAATCCAGATTGATTTGATAGGTTCCGGCGTCGTTTGTGAAAATTTAAAATTCCAAAGTTCATTAAACTTAAATTGGGATATGGTTCGTGGTTTTAACGTTGTTTGATGTTATTCGAGGTTTCAACTAAGTCCGTAATATGTTTTGAGACTTGTTGGTATGTTCGGACGGGGTCCCGAGTGGCTCAGGTGAGTTTCAGGATGGTTTCTAGGCCATTTATAGCTACTGGTTTTTGGCTAAGCAGTGTGCTATGCGATCGCGTGGAATTGGCCGCGATCGCGAAGCAAAAAATGGAGGAAAATGGCCAGTGAATCGCGATCACGGAAGGCCTTTTGCGATCGCGTAGAGGAAATTTTCTGCTGCACTGACCCAAATTTGGAAGTTTTATATCTCGCAATCTATAAGGAATTTGGAGATGATCCAAAAATGAAAGTTGTAGCCCTTTGTATCTAGTTTTTAAAAACTTAAACCAATTGTTATTTGGAGTTGTGTACCAAAGGTTATGGTTGATATACTACAGGCTGTCCGAGAAGCATTTGAACATCGCGACGAACAAATTTGTGTTGCACTGGGCTAACTTTGGAAGCTTATATCTCGCAATCTATAAGGA